TACGCACGTATAGATGGAGCCTTGCGAGGCAGGATTTAATGTTTTTTTCATGGCATTATGTACCAGTTCTTATAGGCTAGACATATATAAATGCTGACTTAAAACATGTAGTATGATTTACTAACTAAATTAAAATATATTTATATTTTTAATTTTTCAGCAAATGTGTGAATCTTGCAAGTTGCAGTTACCTTGCTAGAATTCTATGTTCTTTGATGAGATGTAATAAATCAGCCATAGCCTCTAACATACCAATGAACCAAGCAAAGCCTTGTATAAGAGACAGGNNNNTGCTAAATAAATAATAATATTTATAAATTTGTATTTTAGGCCAACTGCAATGTGTAAACAAATGTAAAATTGTTAATTAAAAGTAAACAAATTGATGAAAATTGTTTGTTTTCTTCATTTTGTGTAATACTTTCATGTTGCACAGCGCGTTGTAACGCGTCGCTACAGGAGGCGATCGCTTCATGAAAAAAATCTCCCTATTTTTTGGTTTTCAAACTTGGGATCTCTGCTAATTGTACAATAATGTATTTTTTTTTTTAATTTCCATGCCAGCGAGTTTTTTTTTTACTTTAATTTGGATAGGAGCACCTGAGATGGCCGAGACTCAAGAGATGCTTAAATCAATCTGGTTAGCGATGAAGGCATATTCCCATCATATCATACTGCAGTATTCGTGCTTGTCTTGGTACTTTCATCTTTATTTTTATTTTGTTTAATTCTTTTACATTTCCAAACATCTCTAGCCTAAGCATCTCTAGCCTAGGCTTAGCTAGTTTACTCAGCTGTCCCAAGGCAAAACAACATAACTGAGATAATATTTTGAGATAATATTTGGGAGTATATTAAACACTTCTAAATTACCTATAAAAATTTCATGTCTCAACAATGAGTAGTTTCGGAGATAGCACCATCTATCTTTAAGCATAAAATTTAAAATTTAGTGATTTTCCGTGGTAAAACAACGTAACTGCCAGATTATGTGTCAAAACAACATATCTACGATGAAGATACGTTGTTTTGCTTCGGAATGGAAATAAAAAATTATTTGAGCTGACAGAGTCTGGCATAGCAAAATCAACTAGTTAATATTTTTATAACAATATAAAGCTTAACAACGAAGTATGCACAAGTTGGAAAATACATGATAAATTTAAAAAGTAAGTCGTACTTGCGGCGGTCCCGCATCTGACATGTTTCTGAGGTAAAACAACGTATCTGTAAATATCGTTAATAACTTTGCAATAACCCAAAGGTTGTAATTAAAATTTTACATAATTATAATGTCTATAGATATAATAGTCATGCAAAATTATAGAAGGGTACAACAATTTATTTCAAACATAAAAACTTTAACTCTATTTTATTCTTGAAAAGTGAAAATTTCAAGTTACGTTGTTGCTTTGCCATGGAACAGCCATACTGGCTAGGTTTAGGCCTTGATTTTACACAGCGAAAATGTTTGTACTGTATTTTGTGCTTTATAAATTTAAAACCATTATTAACTAGCATAGGCTGGCGCTAATGCACTTTTGCACACCACTAGGGTTAAGGTTAGAGAATAATAACAATAATAATAATATGAATTTATATAGTGCATTTTCAGAGTGCTGTTCAATACGCTTTACATAAAAATTGATAAAATACAATATAAAACAGGCAGCATTATACAATCAAATTACAAATATATTATATAGAAAAACTACAAAAATATATAATTAATTACATTGTTAAAATAATTAAGATTGAAAAATTCAGTAAAAAATAAATATTATTAATTACCTAACAAACTATAATATATAATTCTGAATTATTAAAATATAATAGAGATCAATTAAGTTTTAAATCCAATATCTACAGAATTGAATGATAATAAGCAATTAGTAGAGCTCCGCATAGTACACTATAGGAAAATTATTATACGAAGGTTAGATTTAATGCTTGAAACAATTTCCTGAGGGCCTGAATAACTACTGAGTTAGAAAGAACTTGTTTGTAATGCTATTTTGATAGACTTTTCAGCATTCGAGAGAGAATACAGTCACTGACGTCCTTTTTGGTCGGTGCATGCAGACAGGAAAAATCGTGCGATGATTTCATAACTAGGCTAGGCTACGGCCTAGTAGTAGGAGGAGGAGGCCCGCACGGCCTCCTGCCTGGCCGTAGGCCTACATCTAAATTTGTTCCTTGAGTCTTTAAAATAGGTTTAGAATATTCCTATTAAACGTTCAGTTTGTTGTGTTTATGAGGGTCCATTGATTTAATGAATTCCTAACTGTTCATACTTAATATTGATTTGGAAGTAACTTTCTTCGGATTCTAATTAAGCTTGTTTTACGAAAGTAATTTTCAATTACAATTCAATTTGATTTGATCTTGAAAGTTTG